GTGAGCGAGAGAGAGCGAAAGAGAAAGAGAGATAGAGAGAGGGAGAGAGAGAGAGAGAGAGAGAGAGAGAGAGAGAGAGAGAGAGAGAGAGAGAGGGAAAGAGCGATAGCGAGAGAGAGAGGGGGAGAGAGAAACGATCCCTACAGATAAAACGCACAAAACCCAGCCGAATACTGCCCAATGAATTATTTTGCTGTGAGTACATTCGTGCGTCTCTCGTGTCTTGCTGTGAGCTTTGCAACACCGATTCACGAAGATTAATAGAAACCAGGGTTGAAAAGCCGCTTCGCGACTTTTCAACCCTGGCCCCGTCTGATCCCATGAAATTCTTCACTTTAAATAATTTTCACGAATTCAGATGACAAAAAAAATGAAAACCACGTCCTCTCTCCCCTTATATGGGCGATTACCACTTCCGGTGTATGTTAATTGATTCCTAACAAAGAGAGTCCCTGAAAATTTTAGAAAAACTTAAATTGAACGTCGTAAATAGCTGATTTTGTAAAATCTTTTATATGTGCAGTCATCTCGAGGCCATTACGCATCTAATGACGTATCAAGCATACCTTAAAAACCTTCCCCTTCCGAGATATCCTCCGGACAGAATGACGGAAGTTGCATGCAAAGTGGCACGGACACACACACAGACACTATTTTTTTATATATAGTAGGATAGCCGATACTAACAAGGTCGGGTTTGACATTAAAAATGCATTTAGGTTGTAAATAATAATATTTATTCGTTTTGCCCGCTTCTGCGAGGCGGTGCAATCACTCGTCGCCTCCTGGCTTTTGTCCCATACGCGGCTAAAAATACGTTTACGTTGAAGAAACTTTAGAAAGGTGGCACGTATTTTTAATCTCCTTTACCTTGCTTTGACATAATTTTCAATACAATGTTAAATATTAGCGCATTCCAAAAACTCGCTAGTTTTCGGAAAAGCTACGATCGGCAGGGGCTACTGTAACCAGGTGCAAGTGGAAAAACCTACCTTGCCACAGGTCCATCTGCCGAATTCAGTGCACACGCAAGCACCACCGTCAAAACAACCCGCTATTCCACAAGGCTCACCCGTGCATTTCCGGGGAAGTGTCTGAGGCAGCCGGATTGCTTCACCCTGCCATTTTTAAAAATTTTTGGTGGGACAAATTATGTGAACTTCCAATCGTCTGTCACGTTAAAATTTGCTAAACTCGATACCGGGTTCGGCATTGCCATCAGTCCAAGAAGGCAGAGCAGCAAAGCCAGCTTCGTCAACATTGCGAATGAAAAAGCTGGCAAAAACCGCATCGCTTTTGTATGACCGGAAATCCTGTAAGCAGCGGATCGCTTATTATCGATTTTCTTTTGCAACGGCGACCTGTTGCTCGAGGTCAATTTTTATGAAAATGGCAAGAAGTTTTTGGCAGCTAAAATTCGGTTTGATTGAGCTGAAATACGAATACAGCAGAAAAATTGCGCATTCTGGCCCGGTCTCGAATTCCTCTTGTGGTGAACAACCTCTTTGTTATTTCTCTGAATGCTTCTGCAAGTCCCCTTAAAACCATCGAACGTACACCGAAATGCTGCGCCCGGTTTTCATAATAGTGAAAAGCCACTTGTGAAGCCGGGTAGGGGAGGATTTCCATAAATTAAGCTGAGCCAAAAACAGCGCAACACGGTTTTTTGTTCATACAGTCTGCGTTTCACCGTAATGCACTTGGGCTTCAAATCCTATTTCTTCAGCTTCTGTTGCCTTGTTGTGGCTGAGGTTTTGGAATACGACGAAGTCCCAGCGGCCGGATTGGTTGGTTTTACTGAAATGAACGAGGTAGAGCGACTGAGCGACTCTGCGAGAAAAAGAGAGAGAGAGAGAGAGAGAGAGCTAGATAGAGAAAGCGAGATCAAGAGAGAGAGAAAGAGCGAGAGAGAGAGAGAGAGAGAGAGAGAGAGCGAGAGACAGAGAGAAAAAGATAGATAAAGAGAAAGAGCAGAGAGAGAGAGAGAGAGAGAGAGAGAGAGAGTGAGTAAGAGAGAGAGCTGCGTACTAATCAATAAGCAGTCTAGTAGATTCTAGCGTATCATATCAAAAAGTTTTAGTGCGTGGTCCAGCCCTGCCCTTACGGATATGCCTGTTCAAGTTTACCGCCAAACGGCTTCCAATGCATTCCCGACCGGGTACATTTTCCATTTCGACCAGGGTTGAAGAGGCGGCTTTTCACCCCAGGCCTACCTCAAGGCCCCATGATGGCCCAACTTTGCATGATTCCGCCCGCCTGCCATGAAGAAAAATTAGAAGCATTCACCCTCCCCCGTTAATTATTTACTTACACTAGGATTTTACGCGTTTTACGTGAACGTTTAGCAAATCATCTACCCGTACGATCGCTGTAACGCCCAAAACGCAGCTGAAGCTTGCCAAGTCGGATATTTTTGCTGCGAGGGCATTTGTGCCAGATTTGGGACCGCGCCTCAGGATTGTCACGGATTTTCCGTCTTGTGATTTTTGAAGACGAGAGACCGAAAAAATAGAGTTAATTTCTGGTGGGTCTAGTTGTTTTATAAAAAAAATTGGAAGCTGAATTTTGGCTTCATGCAACCCAATTATCTTGGGCTGAATTGGAATTTTTGTGAAGAACAACTAACTGTCCGTGCGCCTTTAAAAATGTAGGATTTTAAATTGCTGTGAATATAATTTATGAAATTCTCCGAATCCTTCTTCTCGCGCAACAATCACTCGATGCTGTCCGCTTGGCGGCCGATGCGGGGCTGAAAGTTCATCGTGTCCCAAACCTTCCTCTAAATGTTGTAGAACGCCTCGACGAGCTATTTTCATCAATTTAAAGACCATTCAAAAGGTCTACCATTTCCCAGGATTTCCTGAAAGCTCTATTATACCCGGGATGCGTTAGAGTTGAATGGTTAGCGGCCATACCCCGCTGCAGTACCAATGGCCCGTTTCGGAGCACAGGCAGGCGCCTCGACCAGGACAGCCGTGAATCCCACAAGCCTCACCAAGACATTCCCGGCGAGGCTTCTAAAATATTAGCTATTGCGGGACTGATATTTTCGGGTCGCAGGGTTTTTGCAGGGCTAGCTAGACGCGGAAGGCTGGGATCGGAATTTTAGTTACACTTTCCGAACGCCCTCGAAACGACGAATTTGTGACGATCTTCCATCTTCCTATACTTTAGTCCATTTCTACTAAATTAAATTCATAGCCATGCATTCCCTCTTCGTTGAAGGCACTTGGAAAATTTTCCGTACTTCCTCAATGCATTCCCAGCGCCCGTCAATGCACGCACACTTCCCTCCGCAACCGGCATATCCGCACTGTTCACCGGCGCATTCTTTCTAAAATACCCGATATGTTTTTCATTGTAAAATTCAGTAAAATCTTAGATGCTTTTCCCCACCGGCTTCATACATATGCCATTCTCCGACTTCCCAGCACCGCAATGGCACACCAATCCGTGCGGGCAGCCCCTCATTCCGCACGGATCCGCCTTCCCCGGGCAATGCCTCGGCTGAAAGGTATAAAATGTCGAGTTTGTGAGGTCGCTTTAATCGTCTACTTTTGGATTTGCTATCACAGTGTCGAAAATTAGGATGTCGCAAACAGCCTTGTCGAAATTTACCTTCGTCGAGATTTCCTGTTCTAGTAATTACATTAATTCGACAGTCAACACGCCGAAGTTGCAACAAAATTAATTTTGAATCCTGCGTTTCGGCATTCTAATTTACGGCAAAAAGATAATCTCTACTATCGTTATAACTAATTTTTGAAACCGACCGATAGACCTGGCCAGCCGATGGCTGAGATCGGGACCTCCACGAACCCAAGAACGTACAGTAGGCAAACCACCTTTCCGAACATTTTTTTGATGAAAACTAATATGATCAGGAAGGGTTTTATAGATGCCAAAAAATTTTTGAAGCAGCGAAAGGGTTTATCATTGATTTTCGATTGGCAGCGCCCGGGTTTTTCTTGGCCTCAGGCTTTCGGCGCTACAAAATCGTACTTTTTTGGAAATTTCATTGGTTTTTGCGAAAAAAAATTTTGAATTTTTACAGTGTTTGGCGCAATTCCGAAAAATGTTAAATGATGTCGATGGGCTAATTAATCAATTTATTCCGTTTCGCCGCTGGTTAGCGCCAAGGCGCCGGCCAACCGGGGTGACATTCCTCGTATTCCCGAATGCAAACACCCCCGCAATCCTGTAGCCCACGGAGGAAGCAGAATGTTTGACGGCGTATGCGGGGCTGAAAAGGACTTGAGTCTTTTCGACTAACTACGAAATGATCCTGATGATGAAGGACGATCAAGGGCCTAACACGTAAAAAAGATTAGCTGACTTTAAGCAACCTACCGGTTCAGCGGAAAAACTTGGAAACACAAGGAACGTGACGAGGTACAGTAGGAATATGATCTTGCCCAACATTTTGCGAGGGTCGCAACAGCTTTCGGCTGGTTTTCGGCTGGCTTAGCCGCGAAGGCTTGAAATCAGTTGCGATCCGTATTCAGACGCCCTTTGAAGAAAGCCGACGCTTCCGGAACGCAAAATCCTTTGAACTTCGAAGGCAGAAAGGAGGCCTGAATTTTATTACAACCGAAGTGCCAAATATTATTGAAAATAAATACGCCTAGGTTGTTATAATTCCTACAGCTTCACTGAAAACGCGATCAGCAACAGTTCAAGTGTTCTTCAGCGGAATGTTGTAGCGGGCAAACTTCGCCAGGCCGAATGCATACGCTCCAACATTTTCCGCCTCCAAATTCTTTAAATTCAGAAATTCCTTTTCCAACCCCGTCTCGCATTCGCCCTTGCAATAAAAAACCCCGCAAATACATCGAGATTCAGCCAAAACAGCGCGCCGGCGATGACGCGCCGCTTATGGGCGAAATGGGGCGGGGGCGCACTCGGAAACGTCGGATTCCAATTGTCAAGGGTTGGTTTGTATAAAACCGGAGTTGCCAGGCGAAACAGCACTTTCTACGCCCCTAAAAGCTTTCCCGGAGATGCTGGCAAAACTCCTTGTATTCCTTTTTCTGATCATAAACTTGGCATATGGCCAAATCACCAAGGATCCGAGGGTATAAAAATTATCTGACTTTAATGAAAAAATTATTTAGTGCTTCGAAAAATGCGGCGAAGGCGAGTCTTGTATGAAGATGTGGGACGGCTCCTATCTTTGTCAGGATGACCCGGTAGTGGACAAAAATTGTGTTTTTCAGACTTGATACCTGAATTTAGTGCATTTATGAAAAGTATTATTCCTTAATTCGTTAAATTTTGTAATTTTTTTGTTGGTTCAGCTACTTCCTGGCCCGCATCACCTCCTCGAAAAATTGGTCAAGCCGCCGAGCGGAGTTAAAGAAGACGCTCGGAGGCGTTGAATGGGCTGAGTACCGTCACGTACAATCGGAAAATTGCCAACTACTACCGTAACGCACAAAATTTAACGTTCATGTCCTCATAAATTGTACAAACTATTTCAAAGATACTTCAAAGATTATCACTCGGTTTTTCGTTTCGTCCAAGAGATTTCTGTGCTTCAAAGATTGATCAAAGCGCAACAGATATCACCAAAAACATCCTCAAAAAATGCAAAATACTGAAAAATTCGTGATCTTTGTTTCCCCTCAAAAAAATCAAAAATGTGTTTCCCTTGCATCCTTTGCATAAAAATTTCCCACATCAACCCGAATTTCTCACATCAGATCTTTCGATTTATATAATTTTGAATTTATGTTTTCTAAATCTATAAAAACCAGGACCTCGGACGCGATCTTGAGAGTCATGTTGTTGGTCTTGCTGCTTTGCCTCGCCACCCTGGCTGTTGAAGCTCAAGGAGATGATGATATAGTAAGTTCTTTGAGTTAGCGACACGGCTTTGACAAAGCAAAAAATGAAATTTCTTGTTGTAAAAAAAACATTAAAAAACGCTATTGGCGATAAAAATGTATACCTAAACGTTTTGTTCTAGTGCGCTATCTGTACCCGGTCAGGGAGCGAATGCATCGAGCCGGATGGCCGTACTCCGTACTGCGGCGGGCCTCTCTGGCCACAGGACAGGAAGGTATTTCTGATACTGAGTTCCCTGGAAGAATGTAAATTCAGAAGCGGAACGCGCTGGTCAAGCCGCCGGTCCGCTGTGTTCTTCCCAATGTCAGATGTCACGATACCTGCATCCGGATCCATTCGCCGTGTCCGCGTGGCTGATCCGTGCTGACCGCAAATGTAAAAAAAATTGCTTAAAATTTCTGGGAAAAATCGTAATGCTATTTTTTGAAGCAGTTCTCGAGATCGCTTACACAATTTTATCCTACGGATACGTCTAGGCGTAAGCATAAGGCTAAACAGACGCGTTGCGGTAGGTTTTGACAACCACGCGATGCTCTAAAGCTAACCCGAATCCATTTCTTCGTTGTTTTATAGAGGTTCGTTATTTATGTTTTGTTTTTCTTCGTTTGTTGTGTGCCGTAGCCACCATGAGCCGTCAGATTGAAGAAAACGATTCTAGCATTTTCTAGTGTCTTTCAAGTTTCACAAGTTTATTGAATAGATCTGGTCTTCAGCGGAAGGGAAAGGCCGGGCAAACGACGCCTGGTTTGATGCAGACACCCCAGCAGTCACTGTACCCGTCCCAGACGCACAGCGTTTGACGGCGGAGCCGAGCCTGGAAATAAGACTTTGGATCTAATCATCACCAAAGCCGCCGGTTTCAGGATGTAGTTCGCCCAAAAAAGGCAACGCTTACATCTCTCAGTCTCAGGGGCGCTGGTGGGGCCCGAAAGGAAAGAGCCGAATATGTGTCGAAGCATGCCAGAAATAGCAGAAAAACCAGCGTGAGGAGCATTTGGAAAACCCACTCAACAGTCTGGGCTGCTGACTTTTTAGAAAATCTCCTTTCTATTCTCCATGAATTCAGATCAGAAGCGGGGGTCTCAGAAGTGCTGACAGAAGCCTCTCGGCTTACCCTTTGATCTAACAGCCCGGAAAGTGGCAGGAAGAGCTACATCCCTGGCCTACATCATCGATTCGAAAAATTGGTCTAACCGCGGAGTGGAGCTAACGAAGAAGCTCGAAGACGCTGAGGAGCTGCAGAAGTGCTCAAAAATCAACTCTTCCGTTAAATCAAAAATTATTGTATGATCTGAGTCCACCATCTTTCAAGCGATAAATTGTACAAATTCTTCCGATCATTGATGCTTAGAATTCAGTTGGCTATCGATTCCTGCTTTGACCCTGACAATTCAGGGTGTCTGATTTTTTTCCATGGTCCGGAAATTCCCGATCGTTTCTCACAACACGGCACAATATTTTTCGTTTTATAGCCGTTTGGCGCGGTTTGCCAGCTGTATATAATGTTGATTTTTCTTTTCCGGATTTATAAAAACCACCGCACTTTGAAAATTCCAGCTTGGCGTGATGTTCTTCGTTTTCATGCTTTGCCTGATCATCGCTGCAGCCGAAACTCGTAAAGATGAGTACATTGTAAGCTCTTAGCATTTGAATTATGATTGCTCGTTATCACACAAATGTTAACGTACTAGTTATATCATTGAACAGCGCCATAACCGTTTTTCCCTCCAGTGCTCACTATGTACGGGATCGGGGAGGCAGTGCGTCTTAGAAAATGGTCAAACGTCCTGTGGTGATCCTCTTCTGAGCAGGAAGGTGTCATAAGATGAATTTGCCTAAAAAACTTGAAGGATCTAGAAGCGGAACGCCCTGATCAAACCGCCGGTGCAGTGCGTGCTGCCAAATGTTAGGTGTCACGATACCTGCATCCGGATCCACTCTCCGTGTCCGCGTGGCTGATAGCTGACGATCAAAAAGTGAAATAAAGGAGTAAAATCCGGTTCAAAAAATTTTTTTAAGGAGGGACTACATGAAATGTCGACATGTCGACGCCGAAACAGACGTTGTATTTTATAATTTTACAGTGCGACCGCTGCGATCGTGATAAACAGATGTGTGTCGTGAATCGAGGCGTCGGAAGCACTTGCGTAGATGCGCCACCGCTGAGGAAAGTAGGTATTACCGTAATTCCTCTAATCTAACCCCGAGACTACATGTTTTCTATCACCTCAACGGAGGGTGTTTATTATCAGGTTGGATAATAAGTTCTGTCACAATTTTTTGAAATCGCTCGTTAAAATCGCAGATGTTCCCGATTCTTGAGTATGAGGTATGGTTTGATAGGTCTCACAACACTCTATTCTGGGAGGACCATCAGCTGACCAAAAATTGAGGGATGTCGAGATACAGGCCCGAGAAGGTTTTCGCAAATGACGCAAAAGCGTGTTAGCGAGTTATCTCTGCATACAGTAATTCGCATGCGATACCTTCAACACTAATCGATAGCTCTCAAGGAGTAGATATTGATAGATGTTTAGATCATCAAAATCGGACATCGGATGGCCGAGATACGACCCCTTGAAATTTGGCCCATTTCTTAGAACTTTTCCCAAAATCCCATACATTTGATAGCCCGCCGCCAAAACTGACCGCTTAATTTTCAAAAGAACCGAGCGCATTTTGACCAAATGTATGGGATTTTGGGAAAAGTTCTAAGAAATGGGCCAAATTTCAAGGGGTCGTATCTCGGCCATCTGATGTCCGATTTTGATGATCTCAACATCTATCGATATCTACTCCTCGAGAGCTATCGATTGGTGTTAAAGGTATCACATGCAAATTGCTGTATGCAGAGATAGCTTGCAAAATCGGTTTGGTACGTTTTTGCGGAAAACTTCTCGAAGCTTTATCTTGGCGACTCTCAATTTTTGGGTGCGAGTAGGGTCTACACAAAGTAGAGCTCGAGAATACCTATCAAACCATATATCCCACTAGTAATTTGGGCATGTCTGCAGCTGTAACAAGCTATTCCAAAAAATTGTGACAGAACTTATTATCCAACCTGATAAATAGCGATATATTTTTCATAATTGTGAGAAATTTCAACAATTTCTGCCGGTTCAAACCGCGCACAACCACTCAGGAACACAGTACGAAGCTTAAACCTAGACCTTTTTTTTGGCGTTTTTTTCAATTCTTAAGATAACTTTGAAAAAATTTTTGAGGCGTTATATTAGGGGGACTACATTAGAGGAATTACGGTAAGTCCTTCAATCTATCACTTGGGAGGCTTAGAAACGAAACTGCCTCGCGTCGCGCCCAAAACTCCCAGCACATGCACGCGGCCAGAGTGGCAGTTCTGCCGTGAGAGTGGAGTTTGTATCCCCGGCTTGTCGCGCTGTCCCACGCTGGAGGATCGTCGATAGGAACCCGTCCGGTGGAATAAAGCTTTTTACACAGCAGAAGTGGCTTCAGCTTCTTTGATCACTGTTCCTGTTTTTGCGATGTTTTGCGTGCATTAAATGCGTAGTAGGAAGAGCCAGGACCCTACAAAAATACACCATTCGACGCAAAAACATTTCGGTATTTATCTGTGCTTACATAAGTCACAGTCGTCGTCTTCCCGTTATTGAATTAATAAAGGAATATTTTTCGACGAGAAATTAAGTTTAGAAAGCTGATTAACCAGATACCTCGAAAGAAAAACTGGTATTCTTTTCTGCAAAAACGTTCAAAGCCCGAAAATCGGTCCCATAACGAGCTCGACCGACGGCTTCCTGTTCATGCATATTCCATTCTTCTGCCTCGAACTTTGCTCCCGTTCCCCCACAACTAATGCATAAAACTTCATAGCTTTTCAATATTGATGCTTTTGCGCCTCGCCCTCTGCACCGTACATCCGTATAAAAGGGAAACAACGATAAACTCTGGAAAAATGATGATATTCTGGCTTCTTATCGCCTTTTTGGTTGTCGATATTTATCCGCGACAATTTGGAAAGGTAGCGTTTTCGAGAGATCTTTGAAGAAGCTTTTAAAAGAAGCTTGGCGGAGGCTTGGGAATTTATTCATAATCGCGACGACCCGAACGGGACAGTCAAAATCCCGAAAAAGTTAAAACCCCGATAGCCAAAATGCCGACAGTCAAAATCTCGGCGTAGTTTTGACGCGACGGACATGATCTGGATGCCACTTGCTTTTTTACGGCCATCTTGCTTGTCGAAATTTGTCTGGTAGAATTTTGGTGTCTGCATTTTGGCTGTCAATATTTCGGATGTCGGGGTTTGCATCTAGGGATTCCGGCTGTCGGTATTTTTACGTTTTTCAAGGCGTTGCAAGGCTTCCTCTTCACCCAGCTATGACTTTCAGTGCCCAGAATGCGACGGTCCAGACCAACGCTGCGTCCGTGAGGGCGTGAACAGGTGGTGCGTGGGTACGCTGTTGACGCGGCAGGTCTGCAAGAATTTCGAAACTGAACCGAATATTAGAAGCGAAATGGTATGTCTCAGTCGTGCGGATCAGCATTGTGGAAATGGTGCAATGGCCGTTGTATACCTTCGTACCGATCTTGTTCCTGATAAAATGTTAAAATCGCTTTTATTCCACGTTGTAAATTTTCGTTGGGGTGGTGCAGGCCTGGGAATGGGCCGGCCCGGGCCGGCCCGCCAGCCCATTTTTCTCGGCCCGGCCCGGCCCGGGCCGGCCCGCAGCCAATTTTTCGGCCCGCGGCCCGGGCCGGCCCGGGCCGGCCCGACATTTTGGGTACATTTTTACCAAACCAGTATATCCCATCATTTAATTTTTCCGGAGTCACAAAAACGTGTTAGATCAAGTCCGTTAATCGTCTATAGGCTTGCACAACCGATTTAGGTATATTATGTAACGAGAATTTATTCATAAAGCAGCATACAACCAGTTACATCTTTAGTTCAATAGAAAAAAGTCTGTTTTACTTAGTGGAGCTCAATTTCTTTGACGCTTACGTACAGTTTGTACGCTAATACACTTAAATAAGGCTAACAAGGTATATTCCCAGCATTTCTGAACATTTCCGGCTAAAATAGGCTGATAATGCCGATTCACAGAATGCCGATTTACAGAATGCCGATTTACAGAATGCCGATTTTACAAAATACCGATTTACAAAATGCCGATTTACAGAATGCCGATTTACAGACTGCCGATTTACAGAATACCGATTTACAGAATACCGATTTTACAGAACTTGGGTTCTACATCCAGAAATACAAACCGGATCCCCAGAAAAAAAACATTATCCGACTTGGACATGGCGAAACCGCCAGACCTGAGGCCTAGCTTTACTATTTTCTTTTTTTTCAGAGAAACCCTAGTTCCACGTTACCAAGGGGCCGCCCATGGGTTACTAAATTAAATTCTTCTATCGAACAGTTTTCCCTCCCTCTCGACGTGAGGCCGGGCATTCTCAACCAAGAAACAATAACGATTCGCTGAGTTTTGTCGCTGCGGCTGAGCACGTTGGAAGTGTCGGCGAACAGCGAAAAGAGGCATGCGTTGAAACATGTCGCGAGACTTGCGATTTCCTCGTAATCCCCGATCCCCACGTGAAAAAAAGGATTCGTAAAAATTCGCCATGGCCAAGTCGGATGTTTTTATGGGGGATCCCGTCTGATGTAAACCCAAATTATGTAAAATCGGCATTTTGTAAATCGGTATTCTGTAAATCGGCATTCTGTAAATCGGCATTCTGTGAATCGGCATTCTGTAAATCGGCATTTTGTAAATCGGTATTTTGTAAAATCGGCATTCTGTAAATCGGC